GGAAGTGGATGATTGGGTACAATTTCTAGAAAAGGGACAGGTCTACCCAACATGCATGCGCTGCCTTGGTGTCCCCATCACTGTCTCCCAGGGTGTGCTTGTCGAAGAGATACTCGGCCAGGCCGGAATCTGGGGCCCCCATCTTGTGCAGGTTGGTGACGTAGTCGCCCAGCTCTTTGATGGATTTCACCTGCTCATCCAGGTAATGTCTCGATGAAGTCACGGAGATAGGGGTCGTTCTCCGTGGCCAGTGTGTGCAGCTGCAGCAGGGACTGGTTGACACTCTTCTCCAGGTGCAGCGCACCCTCCGTGGCGTTGAGCCCACTCTCCCAGTCGTCCCGGTCTGGTTTCTTGCTATCCTGGAGGAAGATCCGGCCCCTCGTTAGCTCTGCAACTCCATCAGTCTCTCGGCATGTTCTCTCTCCTCATGAGACTGGTGCAGAAAGTATTTGGCAAAGTTCTTCGGAGCCACGTCATCCCGGTCGAAGTAGTGAGGCATGGACAGGTAGACGTAGGAGGCATTGAGCTCCAGGTTGACCTGCTGGTTGATGGCGGCCTTCCTCCGGGTCCTGGTTGTAGTTCTGGCGCCCCTGCGAGGCAGATGCGGTCACGGCGGGGGTGGAGGCCTGGGGGCGTGGATAGTGCGGCTGAGAGGTGCTGCTGGACAGCAGGCCGGGCGCCGGCTGGCGATCGCCGGGTTCCCTAAAAGCACTGTCGAAGCAGGAGACCTCGGCGGCTCTGCAAAGAACGTCTGGCCGGGATGCTTTCTTAATGTACACGTACCCTTTATAGAAAACTCACTTATGCATATGAGTTTCTGTGGATTTGTTTCTCTAACGTCCCCAGACTAACACACTAGCCCTACAACAATTCCAAACTACTTTAAAAATGTCCTTAATAGATGATACCTAAGGACAGAGCCCTGGCGGTGTAATGGGTGACTCCCCGGGTTGCTAACCACAGGCCAGTAGTTTGAAACCACTAGCTGCTCCAGGGGAGCAGCATGAGGCTTTAGAGTCCTGTGAGCAGTTACTGTCTCAGAAACCACAGAGCAGTTCGACCCTGCCCCAGAGATTGCTGTGTCAGAATCGACTTGATGGCGATGCGTCTGGTTAAAAAAAAAGTCAAACAATCAGTGGCTCCAAGGAGATCAGCTGGGCCAATTAAATCCAAGGCAGAGAAGGCTCAGATTTTCTGGGGACTGCCAAGGGGGCAATCTTCATAGCTGTGTTTCGAACCCCTGGTCAGCCTTGCGAGAGAAAGATGAGGCTGTCTGCTCCCATCAAGATTCCCCGCCTCTGTCCCAAAGGGCCCACCGGAGTCCCAGGGCCTCTCTGGCAGGGGTGTGCTTTGTCTATCACTGCTCCTTTGTGTTTCTGTTGTTGAAGTCCTGATCCATAGTTCGTTCAAGATCTGTGATTGATGTACACATATTATGGAAGATTTCTTTTAGGCAGTTTTCAAAACGAACATCCTCTCTGCTATTCTTACACCCATACTTAACAATTGTAGTTAATTTCAAAATGAGTTGGCAATTACTCATATCAGCTAATTCTCACTTTTAGTATTATGTAGGGAGAGTTTTTTTTTTTTTTTAACATTTTATTAGGGGCTCATACAACTGTTATCCCAATCCATACACACATCAATTGTGTAAAACGCATTTGTACATCGTTTCTCAGGGAGAGTTATTTTTAAGGAGGTTTAAATTACCTACACAATAAAGAGTTTAAAGCTTACACAAACAAGTAGTCATTTACTTATGAGGCTTTCTGATAGCCAAATTTTGCACGTTTATAGAAATAATTGAATCATTTATTGGAATTATTTGACTAGAACCAGACTTGCATCAGTATTTTTATGTTATATATGAAGGGGTTTTGATAAAATGCATACACAAATTCCATTATCTTTCAATTCTCTTTCCCCATGAACTTTGTGAAGCACCCTGGTATTTGGGATATAAACAAATAGTACAGGTTGAAGAATCATTTTCCATGAAAACACAACAAACAGCATTTGTTTGGAAACAAGAAGATTTAACTGTTAACTACGAAACACTCACCTCTTCACTGACAAATTTCCAATCCCGCTGTCGTACTCCACACCACATCTCCCACGTTCTAGCAGCTTCCAGCAAGCGCAGCCACCTCTCCCACAGGGCAGACACACTTCCCAACAGACACACGCCATCCTTCTCTGAGCACGTGCCTCTCAAGTGTCTCAGGACCTGCCGGAGTTTCATCAACTCTTCTTTAGTCGATAGAAGATTTGTCACCAAAGCCTCAAGAAACAAAATAAAAGGAATAAAGGTATGTAAAGTCTAGTTTATATTTTTTCAGAAACCCACAAAGGGTTTAAAAACCTTGAACAATGTATTATCAAAAAATGTACACAGTACTACATGATACTGTTTTTTAAAAGTTCTTTTGGAAGTAACTCTGTCCATTGGTACCAGTTGACAATCATCTGTGTATGAATAAACTGCCCATGCGCTTAGGACCAAAGGGACAAAGAATAATCCACAAACGAGTATTTTTCTAGCAAGAGTGGATTTCCCAAGGTGAAAAGCTTTAAATATATTATGCAGTCTTTATTTAAATCTCTTAGGTTATCAACTTTGATCAACTAGGCAATTATTTGTTGTTGTGGTTTGTGGATTTGTTAGGGTTTTTATTGGGCGAGGAGGATGAGGGGTTCTTAGAGCACAGATGGTTTTGAATGTCTTCCCTTCAACCCCCATACAATAGATTCTAACAAATGAAGCACAAGAAACATTCCGCTTGCTTAGTAACAGAATGTGGAGGCCAGGAGAGTGGCAGGAGACTCTCGGTGGAAAAGTCACTGACCCATCGGAACCCAGCAAAGTACGATGAAACGTGAAACTTTAAAAGAGCAATCGAGAAAGACAAAATATGCCTGCTGGGAAGAGGATTGTCCCGTGAATGCGATTCATTAAATCTCTCAGAATTGTTGCTTCATTTTATTCCTCCGATTTCGGTTTGTGTAGAACTGGGCGGACAGCCTTCTTTGGCTCCTAGCATGCTGCTTTCACTTGCACATGCTGGTTCTGCGCAGAGGGCCATTACCTTGCTCTGTTCCGAGTGCTCTAAGGCTTCTTTGTAAGACAGCGGCAACTGGGACATGGACTGCCCAAGAGAGGTCTCCATCTTGCCCAAGTCAGTGCAAATTTTCTCTTTGGTGTTTCGATAGCGTTCGTAATCCTCAAGACACCTAATGAGGCAGTTAGAAAAAAATGGCATTAATTTAAAAAAATCATTTTACTGGGGGCTCATACAACTCTTATCACAATCCTTACATCCATCCATTGTGTCGAGCACATTTGTACATTCGTTGCCCTCATCATTCTCAAAATATTTGCTTTCTCCTTGAGCCCTTGGTATCAGCACCTCATTTTTCCCTTCCTTCCCTGCTCTCCCCTCCCACATGAAAATGGCATTAATTTTTATGTAGTGTGATAAATACTGAACTTCCCAGAATGCATTCTGCATATTCAATAAAAACAGTAATATGATGATTCTATAGTTTCCTATTCAATGAATTTTAATACATTTGAATTGACTAACTCCTCTCAATAGAGTCTATAAATTCACATTTATTTAATGGATAAATAAGACCGTCCTTAAACCATCTAAGCTGGAAGTGATTTAAAGAAAAAGAATTCTTAAGTAAAATGAAATTGCATTCTTTAACACTCGTAGCACCTTTCCCACCAAAACCAAATCCCAAGCCAATAAGGTGTAATTTGATACAATTTTTATACAATAAATTATCATTCTAAATATTCTTATCTTCTGACGCATAATTCAACTACTGTAATTTATTTTAAGAAATTAATCCTAAACATAAAAAACTTTTTTCCACAGCAAAATTTCTTTTTTGTTGTAGTTGTTTTTTTCATTTTATTTTTTAAATCACTTTTTTGGGGGTTCATACAACTCTGATCACAATCACAGCAAGATTTCTTTTCTCATTATTGTACAAGTTAAAATAACAAAAAGATATCTTTTCTATCTAACCAGATGATTAAGTAAATTACAGTTTAATTTATAAAATAACTCCTAACAACTACAATTTAATTAATGATGTGTGTGTTACAAAAAGAAAAAGAGTTCAGGTTATAAGGTAAAATAAGGGGGTGAGGCACCAAGTTTGATATAAAGTGCAGTGTTTATTATATAAAAAAGCACTGTGTATAAAATTAGATGTGTCAAGTAGTTTAAATAAAGCATAGGCAAATAATATTGTATACAGAATCGGAAAAAATGGTGATCTATAAGTAGACACGTGAGACATGCAGGCAGAATGGCGGTGGGGGGGAGTGGGAGAGTAAGCCTCTAGATATCTGTATATGCAACCGAAGCTATGTCTACATCTGCATTTACTTATGCTGCAAATACATCCACGAATATAATCTATCGGGGGCAAGGTTATGAAAAGTTCTTGGCATAATTAAGCACCCAAGGGACCGAATTGCTGGACTTGGGGACAAATGTCCTAGTTTCAGGGGACATCAATTGGCACAACAAAGTCTACGGAAACAGGGTTCTACATCCAACTTTGGTGAGCAGGGACAGAGAGAGTAAAAGTTCATGAGTGGCCATCTCATGTGCAATTATTAGTCTCTCCCTATCCTGAGGAAAGAAGAGGAAAGACGTGTGGAAACAATTATTCCAATAAACTATAGGACCAGGTGAATCACAGGCGCCATGACCCTGCATCCGGAAGAACTAGATGGTGCCCAGCTACCACTACCAACCTCTGAGAGCAGGTCCCTAACAGAGAGAAAAACCTCAGTGCCACAAGGAAGACCCACTCACTGGTCAGAGACTTACGGTACCTCCCAGACGATGGTCCTTAGTCACCCTGCACATCAGGAACTAAACTAACCTTCATCAGCCAAGCAATATAGATAGTTCTATAAGGGGAGCCACACCACTAAGAATGCCTTAGAATAACCAGCCATTTGAACCAAAAGGGCAACATTTATCGAAGGACAAAATTCAAGCGGGTTAGGGAAGGAGGAAGAATGTAAACAAAAGTCTTTGGAGGTATTGGGTAAGTGATGTTATGACGTGGGGATCGCATGAAACACAATGTGTACGAATTGTTGAATGGAAACCTGATCTGCTCTGTAAATCTTCCCCCATTCACAAACACTTAATAGGAAATAAAGCAAAAGGTGGCATAAATTTCCTATGAAAGCAATGAAAAATTATGTAATAAATATAGAGATTTAAAACCATTAAAACATATTAATATACGGGCAAAGAATTAAGTAATTAACCCAAACTAGGTTAAATTATAAATATAGAGGAACAGCCAAGCTGTAGGGCCAGTTTTTCACCTTGACTAATATATGGGCAAAGAATTAAGTAATATTTACAGTCCCAGACTAGGTTAAATTATAAATATAGAGGAACAGGCAAAGCTGTAGGGCCAGTTTTTCACCTTGAGGACATTTGTTAAGTTCCAGTTTTCTTGACCACCTACTAGACAATAAGGGAGGGGGATAAAACTCCAGCCCACTCTAGGAGGAGACCCACTCCATGGAAGACCCACTCCATCAGATTAGTAACAGATACATCGACAAAGGACAAGTCTCCAAAATATAACACAATTCTTTCAAGTCAAAAAGAACAGAGATGAACCAAACTAATGAAAATTGCATAAAGGCTTGAAGAATCCGTTTATCAGAGAACAAATACGAATGACCGGTAAACATCCAAAAAAGACTTCTAACTCATCAGGAATAGCCAAATTCAAATTAAAACCAAGAACCAGCACTTCTCGCAAAAATTAAATCTCACAACACCAAGTACTGGAAGGGGTAAGAGACTTGTGGAACAGTGATTCTGACTTGAATAAAAATTGATAATTTCACACAACATTAAGATTAGAATGCACGGGGACCTTCTACCCAGTGATCGCTCTTAAACATACACCCAAAGGAAGCTTTCATCCGAAAATTAAATGGTTCCTAGTAGCAATGTTTATGAATGCCAAATGCCCATCAACAGCTAAGAGAATGACTTGTCATTACAGAAAAATAAACCTAAGGAACATAATGATGTGTTTGAAAAAATCAAATCAAAGAATATATGCATGAACCTATGTTTAACAGCGTGAAAATGGACATATGCATGTGTTAGTTTAACAGTGTGAAAACAGATTATTTCAGGGCACAAACACATAGTAAAAGTATAAAGAAAATATAGGTATAAAAATTTAAAAATATAGGAGCATAGGAATGATAAGCACACAATTTAGGATAAGGGTTGTTTCTCAGAGGAGAAGGAAAAACAGAGAGCATTCAGAAGTAATGATGTTATTTTGAACCTTTGAGGTAAAAAAAAAATTTTTTTTTTAATTATTACTCATGACCAATTGCCATTGAACGTATTCAAACTCATGATGACACCACGGTGCTGGACTGCCAAAAGAACAAAGAAAGCTGTCTTGGAAGAAGTATAGACAGAATGCTCCTTAGAGGCAAGGATGGGTAGACTTCATCTCATGGACGGTGGACATGCTGTCAGAAGGAACCAGCTCCTGAACAAGGACATCACGCGTGGTAAAGTACAGGGGCAGCACACAGGAGGAAGGTTCCCTACAAGATGGATTGACACAGCGGCGTCGACAGTGTGCTCCATGTAAGAATAGCTGTGAAGATGGTGCCGGACTGGATGGCGTTTTGTTCTGTTGTGCACGAGGCTGTGTGTGTTGGAACCTGCTCCGTGGCACCGAACAAGCACATGGTGGCCTCACGTGTTTCAGCATAGAATCTGATCCATATGGTGGATCACTGTGATCTTTTGGGAGCAGTTTGTCAGGCATGTGATCTGATTACTCTCTAAACCGTATACGTACTTAATTTGATAACTACTTTGTTGCATGTACCAAATATCATGTAGAAAATTATAAAAGACACCTGACAGCATATCTGTCATTTTTTCCTATAGATAATGGATGTTCCCCATATTTTTCAAATGCTCATGAGCACATTTTAATGATAAAGAAGCATTTATTGTTTATCTCCTGAAAGTACTCTCCATAAAATAAAGAGCTTACCTTTCCATCTCAGCCTTCCCTTCGTTGGCTGCTTCCCTCACAGCAGAGTCCTTAGAAATCAGTTCCTGCAGAGTTTGCTGAAGCTGCAGTTTGGCTTCAGGGCTGCAGACAGCTCCCAATTTCTCGCTGAGGTCGCGCATGTCTGCCATTGTTGCTTCAAATTCCTCTTCTTTCCAATGAGGCATCGTTAGTGAGGCGTCCGGATTATCGAGGTCTACTTTATGGAATGCAACAATGGTTTCAAGGGCAGTGACGATCTCCGCTGCCTTGGTCACGGCTGCATTATAGTGCGTCATGTTTTTGAAAGCATCGTCCAATACATCCTGGTGAATCGAAGGACAAACACTGTGTCAAACCCGTCCAACCTCTGGGATCCCTGCGCCATGTTTGAGGGGCCATTCTGGCACGCTATGTGGTCTGACAAGAACTTAGTCTTCTCACACTTGTAAGAGTACCACACGAGTGTTTAAAAATAACTTTTTGCCTACAAGAAGCAAGATTGCTTTTCAAGTCTGGTAAGAAATCTCATCTAAATTTAAAAATACATCTAAGGAATGAGTCGTGTCTGGTGATATATGGTCCTGTTTTGAAACCACGGTACTAATCTATGAATTAAATAAAGTAACAGACTATGTTTAATATATATAACCACGAAACACATTTATAAAGAACTAAAATAGAAAACAAACCAGACTGCTTTTGTTTTTAAATCACTGGCTCTGCCACCGCTTACTGGCCCCAGACTTTGATCTTCTTATTGAGATACCAATGACTGTCTTTAACGGTCTCTTCGAGTCCAGTGCTAATCATACTTGGGGGGCAGGGGGTGGGGCAGTTTACATCCAGCGTTTCCTGAAACGGAACTGACCCAAACAGAGAAATGTACTCCACAGACTCAGTATTTGCTCAGCGCCTGTCTAAAGAACCGAGGTTCTCAGCTTCAGAATCTGAGATTACATTTCCATGACATTTTACTGTCATTTAGGGTAAAACATAAACTCATGAATTAAAATCTGCAGCATCAACTGGCTACGTTGAAAAACCAAAACTTACTGTGCGCCAAACAAGGCTCGTGTGAAGCTCCGTTTGAAGAGCTTCCAGGTCCCGTAACCTCGTTTCCCCAGGACCAGCTTCTGAAGCGCTTTCTTTTTCTCGTTGCTCAGCAATGACAGTCACAGCTTTAATGCTAAAGACTTCTGCCTGAATCTGCTCCTGCAACACTTCGCAGTTCTCCTTCTCCTTCTGAATATGTTGCATTTCCAGATTTATAAGCAAAGGCTGCTCTAACTGAGATTTGAGCTGATTGAAAACATCCAAAGAGTTGTCCAGCTTGTCTTGAAAATCCTTCTCATTCATTTCTTGCGGCTGTGATGTGAGTATCAAGTTTTGGAGAGCTTTCTGTAACTTACTGTTTTCTTCGACATACAGATTTATTTGCAGTGCTTCTTTCTCTCTGAATGACTCATCAAAGGCTGTATTTTCACTTAATTTCCCGAGCATCTCATGATACAAGTTCTTGGCTTTCTCTATTTTCTGGTTCAACACGTGGGCAGTGCGCAGGCTTTCTTCTGGGGAAGCACTGAAAGATGTTAGCACTGCTTTGGCCCTCTGCTTAATTTCTGAGTCCAGAGCCCTCATTTTACTGAGCGATGCTTGATAGTTGCTCTGTTCGGTTCCGAATGAGTCCAGCTGCTTCATGCTTTCCTCAAGTTCCTTTTCTTTTCTAAATACTTGCGTCTGTAATTGGTCAAGCTGCGAAAAATCCCAGTTTAGTCCGATGCACTCAAGCATTTCTTTGAGTTTTAATACTTGAGAGAGACTAGAATGAGTGACAGCGTGTCTATCTTTAAGATTGTACAACGCCTCTTTAACATCCAGGTGTATTTCTTCATTAAGCAACAATTCATTGTGCTGCATATCGTCAACCTCCTTCTGAAGCGCAGATGTCTGTTCACGAAGTTCTCCATAAAAATTTAACTTGTGATCTACTTCCTCGCTTTTAGTCTGCATGAATCTCTGGGTTCTGTTGGCTCTTGTCTTAAGATTTTTCAACTGATTCCCCAGAAATAATCTTTCAAACACATTTAGCTCCTTACAGAAGTTTGCTAGTTCCTGAAAGTATGTGGAGATGATACTTTCCGCTTCTTGCAATTCTTCCTGCGCGATCTTCAAAGCGACGCGCTGATGTTCTAGCTCCGCTTCTGTGGGGGTTGGCTCCATCATGGGCCCCATCAATGTTTCATTTCCCCGAAGCAAAAGTTGAACCTTCTGCATTGCTGCAAACAATGCTCTCCTTTCTTCCAGTTTAAATTCTAACTGCTGCGACCTCTGAGCAGATCCTAAAACCAAGAGTTGGTACTGGTTCTGCAAATCCTGTAGGAGGTTAGTTAAGACACTGGCCTCCTGTGCCGGAAGGTGAGGAACAGCAGCCTTGACCTCTGCAGTCAAAGACTCTACAAGCTGCTGCTTCTCCAGAATGCCATCGTGCGTCACCTTGCACCTCCTGATCTGCGAAAGGATGTCGTCTGGAAGGAGGGGAATGGTGTGCATGCATTCGCCCAGCAGATTCTTGACCCACAAAACAACCTCTTCCAGCTTGTTTCCTAGTTCGCACTTCTTGATCTGATTTTCCACCTCCAGGTTTAATGGCTCTAAGGCGTCCAGTTGCTTCTGCAAGTTATGGATTCCATTCTCCAAAGTCTTCTTTTCTTTTTCTCCCCAAATCCGCTTCATTTGAAGGTCAGCTCTGCCCTTTAAAGTAGAAAATCTATGCTTGATAGCTTGGAGCTCAGTGGCCAAAGGAGCCACCGTTTGGTCCACTTCCCGCTGCTCTGGAGCGGTCAGCCTCAGCTGCAGACATCGGTGCTGCTGCCGCAGGGAATGCGCCAGGTCCTGGATCGCACTCATAAAGAAATTAAATTCGTCGTATTCCACTACTTGTTGAGAATACTTTTTCTGAACTAGCTGTTCCACATGTTCCCAACCATGCTCAAGTTGATGGATCTGACTTCTCAGCAGCTTCTTATCCATGCCAGTGAGAAAGTCTGATATATTCTCCCACTGGATTTTCAGTTTGCCTAAGGAATCTTTTTCTTTTTCTATCGATGCTAGGATTTTTTGGACTTTATCTAGATAGGTTGCAATGTCTAATGCTCCCCTAGAAAAAGGAAGAGAAATGGAGTTTAATATTCATTATATAGCCTGTGGTTAGATGTCATGATAACATCCTGCTTTGGATTAATAGGAAAAAAATTAAACTGGTGAGAAGAGTACTCTGTGTTTAAAATAAAATTGAGGACCGTGTTTCTCGTGGTTTTCCATTAGTAGGTGACAATGGAGAAGACCCACTTGCAAAATGAAGTATCCTAAAAACAGAAAACCACCAGGAGCGAGGACTGAAGGGAGAAACAAAAGTGCTCTGCATACTACAAAGTATTCGAGCAAAGGTTAGCCTTAAACTAAGGGCTACGGAAACATCCAACACCTGTGTTATCAAGTTTTCCCTGTGATTCAGGCACCAATATAGAGTAAAAATGTGTAATGTCAGGCTTATCTTTTGAACACAAAGCTCTATCCTTAATGATATCCCTAAGGGTAAATTCTGTAAATCTTCTTTAGGCATAATATAAAATAGCCTTTTAAGAAGAAAACATGTACACATTAAGACTGTATTTATGACCATTAATCATCATTTTCAAAGCCAAAAGGAGCGTATGTCTTTATTTTAAAAAATATTACACTACCAATATTTAATATCTATATATAACTATTTAAATCCATGATATTGACATGAAATAACTATATATAAAAAATATATATCTTCCTTCCAGTATACAATACATTCTTCACAAAAGAACATTAAACTCCATTGTGCTGACACCATTTGGCAAGTGTAATTATGGCTTAAATTGCTGAAGGATTGCATTTTTATGAGGCAGTTTCAAAAAGCTCATGGAAAATGTTATGATCTTTTAATTCCAGTTTTCCATGAACTGCTCAAGGCCGCCTCATAGAACATACTAGCAGTATTATTTTTTTTA